AAGATGTGTAAAAAAGTATATAAAATATACATTGTTGGTTTCTATTTCTAATATTTTGTTGAGTATTTTGGCATTCATGTTCTTAGATATTGATTTGTAGTTTTCTTGTAATAGATTTGTCTGGTTTTTCTATTAGGGTATTGCTGGTCTCATAGTGAATTAGGAATAGGAAGTCTTCCTTCCACGTTTTTCTTCTGGAAGAGTTTTTAAAGAATGGGTATAATTTCCTCCTTAAATGGTTGGTATTATATGTTGGCTAATTGAACATAATTAAAAAAAAAAAAAAGAATTCACCAGTGAACCCATCTCGGCCTGGTGCTTTCTGTTTGGGAAGGTAATTAATTTTGATTCAATTCCTTCAGTACACATAGGCCTATTTAGATTATCTATTTTTTATGTAAGTTTTTGCAGATTGAGTCTTTCAAAGAATTGGTTCATTTTTTCTTTCTTTTCTTTTTTTAAAGATTTTATTTATTTATTTGAGAGAGAGCATGAGCAGTGAGGAGGGGCAGAGGGAGAAGCAGACTCCCTGCTAAGCAGGGAGCTCAAATGCGGGCTCTATCCCAGGACCCTGGGATCATGACCTGAACTAAAGGCAGGTGCTTAACCAACTGAGCCACCCAGGCGCCCCAAGAATTGGTCCATTTCATCTACATTATGTATGCCTACAAATTTGTAGGCATAGAGTTGTTCATAGTTTTACTTTATTAGCCTTTTAATATCCATAGGATCTGTAGTGATGTTCCCTTTTTTTTTTTTTACATTAAACTTTATTTTTATTGAAGTATAACATGACATACAAAAGAGTATGTAAATCAGGAGTGTAGAGCCAGCTATACTTAGTGTGTTTTTTTTATTTCTGGTATTAGTAATTTGTGTTTTTCCTATTGTTTTTCTTAGCCTAGATAGGGGCTTATTGATTTTATTGGTCTTTTCAGAGAACCAGCTTTGTTATATTGACTTTCTCTGTTGATTTTCTGTTTTTCATTTCATTGATTTCTGTTCTAATTATTATTTTTTTTCTTTTTCTTTTAGATTTAATTTGCTCTCCTTTTTCTAATTCCCTAAGGTTGAAGCTTATATTATGGAGTTTAGATCTTTCCTTTGTAATATATGCATTCAGTGTGTTATTTTTTACTCTTCAAAGTGCTTTGGCTGCATATCACAAATTTTGATGTTGTATTTTCATTTTCATTTAGTTAAAAATACTTTAAAATTTCTCTTGATATTTCTTCTTTCACTATGGTATTTAGAAGTTCTTTAGTCTCTTAAGTATTTTGAGATATTCTAGCTGTCTTTCTGTTACTGATTTCTAGTTTATTTCCTGTATGGTCTGAGAGCAGACATTGTATGATTTCTATTCTTTGATTTTTTTTTTTTTTTTTTTTTTTGGGTCCCAGAATATGGTCTGTCTTGGTGAATGTTCCATATGAGCTTGAGAAGAATGTGTATTCAGCTCTTGTTGTATGAAGTAGTCTATAGATGTCAGTTATATCCAGTTGATTGATGGTATTCTTGAGTTCAACTGTGTCCTTATTGATTCTCTGCCTAATGGATCTGTCCATTTCTGATAGGAGATGTTGAAGTCTCCAGCTATAATAGTGGATTTGTCTACTTCTCCTTGCTGTTCTATTAGATTTTGCTTCATGTAATTTGACTCTCTTATAAGGTACATACACATTAAAGATTGTGATATCTTCATAGAGGATTGACCTTTTATCATTATGTACTGCCCTTTTTGTCCTTGGTAATTTACTTGTTTTGAAGTCTGCTCTGTCTGAAATTCATATAGGTACTCCAGCTTTGTTTTGATTATTGTTAGCACAGAATATCTTTCTCCACCCCTTTATTTTTAATTTATATGTGACTTTATAGTAGTGAATTTCTTTTAGACAACATATAGTTCTTGTTTTTTTTTTTTTTTAGTTGTTTTGTTTTTTCATCCACTCTGACAATGTCTGTCTTTTAATTGGTGTGTTTACTCCTCTGACATTAAAAGTGATTATTGATATAATTGGTTTAATAACTACCTTGTAGTTACACTGATCAGTAGTATCTCATAGGTCATTGATGCCCTTTGATTTGCTATTTGTTGCCCTTGTTCTTTGTTCCGATTTTTCTCTTTGGACATCATTTCTTCAGATATTTTTTTTCTGTCAATCTCCCTCTTTTTTTATTTTTAAAGATTGATTTATTTATTTGAGAGAGAGTGCACATGCACACGGGAGCGGGGAATGGGCAAAGGAAGAGGAGAGAGAGAATCCGAAGCTGACTCCACACTGACCACAGAGACTGACTCAGGGCTAATCCCACAAACCATGAGATCATGACCTGAGCTGAAACCAAGAGTTAGATGCTTAACTGACTGAGCCACCCAGGTGCCCACCTGTGTCATTCTTTTTATTCTGAGAATCAAATTATAGTTATGTTACACTGATCAGTAGTATCTCATAGATCATTGATGCCCTTTGATTTATCTGTAGTCTTTATTTCTCTGTGTACTTCATTTTTGGGTAGTTTCTATTTCCATGTATTCTAGTTCACTGATTTTTCTGCAGTGTCTAAAGTGCTATTAATCTCATTCAGTGTGATTTTTTAAATTTCAGATGCATTTTTCATCTTCAGAAGCTTCCTTTAATTTATTTATATGTACGAAAGAAGTATATATGAAAGAAAGATATGTATACATCTTATATATATGTGTCATATCATATATGTCATATATATCTTTCATTTCTCTTCTCCGTTACTTTTTTTATAAGATTTTAGTTTTTATTTAAAGGTTTTATTTATTTATTTGAGAAAGCAACAGAGAGAGTGATAGAGAGCACAAGTGGGGAGGAGAGGGAGAAGCAGGCTCCCCGCTGAGTAGGGAGCCCAACGCAGGCCTCGATCCCAGGACCCTGGGATCATGATCTGAGCTGAAGGCAGATGCTTAACCGACTAAGCCTCCCAGGTGCCCCAGATTTTACTTTTTCAAAAGATTTATTTTTGAGAGGGAGGGGGAGAGAGAGCACGAGGAGGGGGAGGGTCAGAAGGAGAGGGAGAGAAGTGGACTCCCCACTGAGTATGCAGCCTGATGTGGGGCTTGATCCCACGATCATGACCTAGCCGAAACTAAGAGTTGGATGCTTAACTGACTGAACCACCCAGGTCCCGCTATAACATTTCATTTTTAAGTAATCTCTATACCCAACGTGGAGCTCAAACTTATAACCCTGAGATCAAGAGTCATAAGCTCTGCCAACTGAGCCAGCCAGGCACCCCTCTTCTCTGTTACTTCTCAAGTGGATGCTGGATATTGTGAATTTTATTGGGTATCTGACTGTGTTAAATTCTTTTGAATAGTGTTGGACTTTGCTCTAATGACTAAACTATTTGGAATAACTTGGGTACTTTTGAGGCTTGCTTTTAAGCTATTAAGTGGATCTAGGGCAGCCTTTGATGTAGAACTAGTTTAGCTCTACTACTAATGCTTTTCCAAGGACTCTATCCATTATCTCATGTAGTAGGAGCCATTCTGACTGCTGAGAACACAAAATATCCCCAGCTCTGTGTGAGCTCTGAGATTTGTTCAGCCTATTGTTTGCTGATGCTTCTTTTCCTGCCCTTGGGAAGTTCTCATTTCCACCTACACACATTAGTGCTCAGCCATAGACTTGGAAGGAACCCTTCTACAGATGTCTGCTTGTTTTCTCTCTGTATGGGTTCTCCTATTCCAGTATTCTGTCTTACAATCCTTGTTGCCTGGCTTTCCTAAACTCCAGTCTCTGTCTTCACAATTCCACAAGAAGGAAAACTGAAAACTCTGGGTTCTGCCTGACTCCCCCCCACCCCCCTCTACTCTGGCTTTGAAACTGTTCCAGGTTTGTAAGCTAGGGCAATTTTAGGCCTCACCTATTTTGTTTTTCGATCTTTGGGATTGTATCTTGCTCTCTTTTCCAGTGTCAGAAATGTTTGTTTCCTATTGTTTTGGTCCATTTTTATAGTTGTTTAAGGTAGGAGGGCAAACCTTGTCACTGGTACTCCGGAATGTCCAGAAGCAGGAGACCTTCAGTTGACATTTTGCATTTCCATTATTTTGTTTAGAAGTTAATTTTGCTGCCCTGTAAGGGGTGTGGTGCTTTTGCCATTTAGTTTAAATCGTTATGAGTGTTGGTATCTTGGTAAGAAGCCTCTGTTACCTATGTAGGAAATCACCCAGTGCTGGGGAATAGTACTGTTCCACTCTCTTCTTTGTAATAGAGGAAGTGATGTCCTAAGCAGAGGTGATAGAGATGTTGCCTGACGTGTGGCATCATTTCTTAGAGTATGCAACAACTTGGCCGTTGGTTTTTCTTCCACTGTGTGTGGTTTTAGGCTTCTTCTTCAGCTGATGAATTCACTACCTACTCCATTCTTGGGCTGTGAATCCATAGGCTTGAATTCTGACCTGAGTGCCAAAACATTGCCAACTGCTGAGTTGGTTGGTTTTTTGCCTGGAAAAGTTGTTAGGGCAAAATTGATACTTTGATTGGGGAGAGAAAGAGGCAGATTTTCAGATGAAAGCTGTTCCACCCCAAATAGTTTAAAAAAATTTTGGCTTATTATCTAAAGGCATGGGTAGAATTTGATATATCATGAGAATGAGAAAGAAGCTCATAAATAGTAAACTTAGTGATGGGTGGGCATCATAAGACCACACATAAGTAGGGTGACCATGTATCCTGTTTGCTAAAGACAGCCCTGAACACCTGTTGTCTTGGAATAATTAACATCCCCTTTTGCTCTTGGAAGTGTCATGGTTTTGATGTCTCTCTCTCTATACTTATATACACACAAAGTCATCCTAGTTGTAAAGAATGGTTTAAAGAATACAAAGTAGGTGTTAATTCCCTGGTTATTGTCCTTGAATGATGGATTTACTGTTTACTTTGTATTTTTGTTGAATAGTTTATAGTGACTAATAAATGTGTGTGTGTGGTTTTATTTTTTTTTAATTTTTGGTATTTTTCCTATAGATGATCTCAATGCCACCCACCAACACTGTGTTTTGGCTGGTTTACCACCTCGGTTTAGTTCCACCCACCGAGTGGCAGAGGTAAGTGTTAATAAAAATGTGATTCAAACTTAATTGGATGTGACAGCAGTGGTTGAATGAGCAATTTTGCATAGAGTTTTGGAAGAGTATTTGATAGGAAAATTGCTTCCATCGAACTTGACGTTAGCCTTTATTTACTTGCTTTATTAGCTTTGAGTTGTGTGGGATACAGTTTTAAAAAATGTGTTCACAGCATGGGATTAGTATATTTTGCTTCTTTAGGATTCTTTTTCTTGGAGAAGGTAAAATGCTATTGGCAGGTGTTGCTAGCTAGAGATTGTCTAAGGGGTTTTTATCTGTCAAGGTCAAGGACAGGAGATGGCCAGAAGGAAGTGGGGAGGGGGCGCCTGGGTGGCTCAGTCGTTAACTGTCTGCCTTCGGCTCAGGTCATGATGCCAGGGTCCTGGGATCGAGCCCCTCATTGGGCTCCCTGCTCAGTGGGAAGCCTGCTTCTCCCTCTCCCACTCCCCCTGCTTGTGTTTCCTCTCTCGCTCTGTTTCTCTCTGTCAAATAAATAAAATCTTTAAAAAAAAAAAAAAAAAGGAAATGGGGAGGGTTTGTGTGCTTGTGCATGTGTTAGCTGTGACCAGGCTCCGGTGGTTGAGAATTTACATTTCCCTTAACTTTTGGGTCAGACTTCTGGGCATGTGAATGTAAATTAAGGAGAGAGTTACAGTGGTGCCCAGTAATTTCTGAGCTCCCCAGTTGAGTTCATAATCCAGACTTTAGTGCTAAATTCTGCCACCACTTGCGGTGGCTGATGGTCAGCTGATTAGACCAGTTCAGAATGGAAACTTAGGAGGTGGGAAAAACTCCTAGTAGTCACCCTGCAGTACTGTGTGATCAGTTAAGGAAGGTTCCAGAGAGCAGGGGAATAATCATGAGAAGGCCTACAAGTTGACTTCATATCCAAGCTTGTTATCTGTGCTTTGTTTTGTAGATTGACTTTCCATCGTGCCACAGGGGGACCAGGGTGGGAAGTTCGGCAGAAGGGATACAACAAAGTGGCAGGGGAACACAAGCACAAGTCCTTCTCAGTCCCGAGACTGAGTCTGTAAAGCAGTGGCATGTCGTATGGTAATTAAGTGGCTTTTCTCGTGGACTGGTCATGTTGCTGTAGGCCAGAGAGGGCCTGAGTATCTATTAAATCAAGATGCCATCCAGCCCATGAAACATGCCTTCGTCCCTTTCTCCTCATGTCCCTTGCCCCCTCTCTTCCATTCGCTCATCCAAATATTTGAGTGCCTGTCACATGTCCAGTGGCAAGATGGGCTTGAGAGAGCCATCAACATCATCCCTAGTACATCTGTGGCCACTCCCTTTGTTGAACTTCCATTTTAGTTGGGGAGACAGATCCCAAACAAATAAACACACGGATAATTATCTGAGAGACCTGAAAGTAAGTTCTGTTAGGCAGTCGGGAAGGAAGGACTGACTGAGTAGAGGGAGGAATAGAAGGAGGAATGTGTGTATGGACAAACAAATGAACTCTTTATTGGATGCTTTCGCTGTGCCAGGCTCTTGGCTGACTCTCAAGCCTGGGTGATTTGGGGATGACATTGCCATTAATAGAAACAGCAGTTGAAGACATTGGGGGAAGACAGTAGTTCATTCAGTTTTGAACAGGCTGAGTTGGAGCTGACCAGTGGAGCGGTCTGGCAGATAAAGGCAAGCAAGGGACTAAAGCTCTCCTCCTCCCCGTCCTGCAGTGGGACATGCCTACACAGAAGCCGTCCAAAGGGGCCCTCCAGAATACAGTTTGAACAGTACCCCTGTGCCCTGATTTCCTTTTTTTCCAGGTGGACCAATTTTATGAGGATAGCGGTGCTTTCACAATATCCTGAGGTTCAGCATTTTCTGCTTTAATCACAGCTGTATTTGTGTCCTCTAAGTTTTAGGCAACATTGTGAGCATTAATTAACTTTTAAATAAAGAAGTGGGTTTGTGTAGTGATGCTCTTGGGAGAAGCACATTATCTCAAATCTATGTCTTTTATAGTCTCTGTACTTGAGTTCAAGCTACTAATTAGACACCTCCACTGTGAATGATGTAACAATCTTGCTTTCTATATTATATATCAGGGTCAGCAAACTGTGGCCCATGGGCTAGCCAGCTGTTTTAATAAAAAAATTTTAATTGAAACACAGCCACACTCATTTGATTCCATATAGTTTATGGCTGCTTTGGAGTTACAAAGGCAAAGCTGCAGAGTCGCAACAAGACCTTAAGGCCTGCAAGCCTAAAATACTTACTATCTGGCCTTTTAAGAAAAAGTTAGCTGACTTTGTTTTATGTGATCTTATGTATACAGGCTTTAATAATCACCTTAAAGTAAAAAGTAATTTTTGAAACATCACCATTTTAAGGTAACTTTTTATTTCTATGGAAAGTCAAAAATGATAATGTTCAGTGTTGGTAAAGTTACGGTGAAACAGGTATATTCATATACTTCTGGAAGTTTTTCTAATTGGTATACTTTTTGGAAAGCTATATGGGGATGTGTATAAAGTACCATAAAAATATCTTTGATAACACTGTTTTTGGGAGTCAAACCTAGGAAACACTTCAAAGAAAGATAACACACACACATATAAAAATGTTTAGAGTGACTAAGAGTAGTGAAGAGCTGGAGAGAACTTTAGTGCCTCTGTAGTACATGACTAGTTAATTAAATTAGTATCACCTCAGTGAGCAACCATTGAAAATACTTACTTTGAGTACTTACGTACAGAGAAAAACAGAATAGACACTGATGTGTACATTCTGATCACAGCCGTGTGGAAAAACAAAGAATCATGTGCAATAAAAATAATTAAAATAAGGTAAGGTGACAGGATTATTATTTTATCTTACTTAAAAATTTTTATTTCATGTCGTATTGTTGTCAGTAATAAAAGAGGGAAAAGATTTTTTTTTTCCTAACATGAAAGTTACATTATTATTTCCCTCAAGAGAAGAGATGGAAAAAATCCATGCAGTGTTGTAGCCCTCACTTATTTTATAAATGTCCTCTCCTTCATACAGAATTAACGTGGCATGTCTTATCTGTGCCACACAAAATGATTTGCTGTTTTCTGTCCATTCAAAATATGTCAGAAACAGATTGTCTTAAGGAAGTGATGTTCTGAATTTCATTTTAGTTAATCAGAGAAGAAATCTATTTAGTTTTTCGGTTACATGTGACTAGATTATGTCTGACAGCTCTCGACTTTTATTGGATTTTTTTCTTCTGGTTGGAAAAGAAGAAATCTGTTTTTTTAATTTAAATTTTATGAATTTTATATATAATTATATTGTGAATAGGTAGTTACTCAAACGATTCAAAGTTCAGAAAGTACCCAAGAATAAATAGTTTAAAGTCTCTTCCTCCTAAAGCCAACCAGCTCCTCCTTCCCAGAGGCAACTAGTGTTATCAGCTTCTTGTTATCCTTTCTGTGATACTTAATACATATATAAGCAAATATGTGTTTAATTAAAAACATTTTTTATACAAATGGTAGCCTACTCTACATACCATTCTGTACTTTTGTTTTAGTAAGCCTTGGTGATAACTTATCAATATGTAATTCATACTTTGGAGTAGGCAGTGGTTTTTTTAGATATGACACCAAAAGCACAAACAACCAAAGAAAAAGTAGGTAAATCGGACTTCAACAAAATGAAAAACTGTTATGCTTCAGGGGCACCTGGGTGGTGCATTGGGTTGAATGTCCAACTCTTGGTTTTGGCTCAGGTCATGATCTCAGGGTCATGAGATTGAGCCCCATGTCGGGCTCTGCACTCAGCATGGAGTCTGCTGGAGATTCTCTCTCTCTCTCTCTCCCTCCATGCTCTCTCTCCTCTCTCTACAATAAATAGGGGCACCTGGGTGGCACAGTCAGTTAAGCATCTGACTCTTGGTTTTAGCTCAGGTTGCAATGTCAGGGTCGTGAGATCAAGCCCCATCTTGGGCTCCATGCTCAGCACTGAGTCTGCTTAAGACTCTCTCTGTCCCTCCCCACTGTTCTCTGTCTTTCTCTCTCTCAAATCAATCAATCTTTAAAAAACAAACAAACATACAAATAAATGAATCTTAAAAAAAAAAACAAACCGGGGCGCCTGGATGGCTCAGTCGGTTAAGCGTCTGCCTTTGGCTCAGGTCATGATCCCAGGGTCCTGGGATCGAGCCCCACGTCGGGCTCCCTGCCCAGCGTGAAGCCTGCTTCTCCCTCTCCCACTCTCCGTGCTTGTGTTCCCTCTCTCGCTGTGTCTCTCTCTGTCAAATAAATAAACAAAATCTTAAAAAAAAAAAAAATTAAAAAAAAAAACCAACCCTATTATGCTTCAAAAGGTTCCATCAAGAAAGTGGAAAGAGAACTTATAGAATGCGAGAACGTTATTTTCACATCACTTATGTCACAGGGTACTTGTGTCTAGAGTATATAAATAACTCTTACAACCCAATAATTAAAAAGATAAATAATCCAATCTTTTTAAATGACAAAAGATCTGAAGAGACATGTCTGCAAAGAAGATGCACAAGTGGCCAATAAACACATGAAAAGATTGAACATCATTAGTCATCAGGGAAATGCAAAGCAAAGCCATATTGAATTATTACTTCACACCCACTAGAATGGCTACAGTCAGAATCACAGTGACAAGTATTGGTGAAGATATGCAGAAATTAGAACCCTCCTGCACTGCTGGAGGGAATATAAAATGGTTCAGCCACTTTGGGGGACGGGCTGACCTTTCCTCAGAATTTTAAATACAGTTACCTCAGGAGCCAGCAATTCTATACCGGAGAGAGATGAGAACTCGTACGTGAATGTTCTTAGCAGCTTGACTCATAATAGGCAAAAAGTGGGAGCAATCCAGATAATGAATGGAAAAGCGAAAGCGGTATTTGCATACAATCAAATATTATTTGGCAGTAAAAGGGAAGGAGTTACTGACAGGTGCTACAACATGGATGAACCTTGAACTGTCATGCTCAGGGAAAGAAGCCAGTATGATTTTATTTTTAGGAGCGGTCCTGCATAGTCAGACCTGTGGTCACAGGAAATAGACTGGTGTTTGTCTGGAGTTGGGCAGGTTGGCAGGAAGGGGGCAGCAGGTGACTGCTAAGGGGTGCCATTTGTTTTGGGGAGGTGACCAAAATGTTCTAAAGTTAACTGTGGTGATGGTGGCATAACTCTGTGAATATACTATAAACTAATGAATTGTATGTTTTCACGGTGTGACTTTTGTGACATGTGAATTATGTCTCAAAAAAGTTGTTACCCGTCCCTGCCAAAAAACAAAAACAAACAAAAAAACGGGCCTTATTATAGGTTCTGTACAACGGATAAAACTCTGAACACCCAGGGAAAAAAGTTCCCTCACCCCTCCCCCGCCCTTTTTTTTTTTGCCTGCCAGTATGGCTTCGCTGTAGTTTATTTAACAAGTCCCCTATTGATGGGAAATTTAGGTTATTTCCAGTCTTTTCAATAAATGGCATTGTGATTAGTAACCTCTTACATAGGTCACTCAATACTTGGGAAAGTAAAGGTGTGAGTAGAGCATGTTTATAGATAGACCGTCATTTTAAAAGAGGTTGCAGGAGTGGCTCCAGGACAAAAGTGAGTGGTGATTCAGCTTTGCTTTCTGTTCTTTTCTTTGTAGCAAGCTGGAGCTGCCTGCTCTTGTGCTCCTAGCACTCTGAGATCTTCATATACACATTAGTCAGGCTTCGGTATTTGGCACTGTAACTTTGTTTTTCCCAGGCTTATCCGTGACACATTGTGTAACATGGCAGTAACCATAGAAAGAATTTTTGTACCAGGGCATTAGCCTTCAAGGTTATTTCTGAGGGATCTGTTTAAATTATGTATGTTGGAAGAGAAATACTTTAGGGATACATTTTCCTCATTGGGTCGAACGGGTATTTATAGCTTGCTTTTTATCATTCTAGGAAATCATGTTGTCATCAAAACCAATGGATGCACACTCCGTCTGCATCCTTTTCTTTTCTGACATACATCATTCAAAGGAGGGCTTGTCCATTTGACCTCTGTTTTGCTCCCACAGACAAAGAGAGGGATGAACTAGTTATCTGTGCCCTTGCCAATACCAAGGCACTAAGTTATGCCTTTGAACATGCCTTGAGGGCATGAGCCACATATTCTCCATTATTTGAAGAACGTATTCCGCCAAGGACCGCAGCTGCTTGGTTTTTGCAGAAAAGGAAAATGAGTTCTTTGCCCTGTGTTTATAACTTCAATTTTTTTTTCCCCCCGCCGTTACTATTCCCTTTTGTGGGCTGTTGATTCGATCAGTCTGGTTACCTTTCTTTCCCATTGTTAGATTCAGGGTACTTAATAACAAAGTCAGTATTTTTGACTTCTTGGTTGATTAGTTATTCATCCAAAAACTACTTACTAAGTTTCTTTTACATTTAGGACTTGGTTCTAGATACTGCAGTATCTGTAGAAAAAATTTATGTAATAAAATGGTGTGTGTGTATGTATAAACATGTGTATATATATACATATAAGTATGTACATGGTTTTAGCCTCAGAGAGCCTACGGTTTAGTGATATAAGGCCCACATCATAAAAGAAAATCAACAAGGTGAGTGGCCCAAGTGAGGCTAAGCACAGAGCCCAGGGAGCAGGCCGCTATAGTGATTCTTAGGTTGAATATGGGCTGAGCTGTGGGGGCAACAGGTGAATGTATGGAAAAGGGACAAATGTGAACATCCCCAGGAAGCATTGTATGGTAAACTTGGATTTTGCTTACAGTCTTGATTGCTGGTTCTGTCTCTGCAGTGCTCGACCGGAACCTTGGATTATATCTTAGAACGCTGCCAGCTGGCTCTGCAGAATGTCCATAATGAGGTGGACAATGGTGATGTTTCTTTGAAATCCTTTGAGCCTGCAGTTCTGAAACAAGGAGAAGAAATCCACAACGAGGTGAGACTTTTCAAGAACTGGGAAGCTACTTGCGAGCTAACAAGTTGATCTGCCATAATTTCATATGGGTATGAGCCCTGAAATTCCTCAGTGAGAGGCAAAGAACAGTTTAATTACCTACAACGACAGCAGTAGCCAGAGTATCTGCATTTTTGTGCCAGTTCTGTAAGCCTCTCTCTGCAGGACAATGCAAAGTGGGCCCATAATGTGGACGCATGCAGGGCTTGTGTTATAGGAGAGGAACTTGAGCCAAGGGAAGCTGAATCTTTTATAATAGGTAGTGAGCATGCCTGACCTTTGCTCCAAACCAGACACTGTCTTTATCCTCCAAGGCTGTTAGCATCCCTGCCCTTTGTTCTGGAGGAGAAACTATATCTTCCAAGGTTGTTTACGCTACCAAACATTCTTGCAGTAGGAGGCTGAGGTGGAGGGAAGTCAGTGCCTTGCTCACAAGACATGCAGAAGCATGAGACTCATGAAGAGTAGTCTTCCCGCAAAGACCAGCGGGGTCATGGGTGGGCCCTAAGAGCAAGTGTCAGTGCCTTGCTTGTTATTTACAAAATGAGGTGCAGTTCTGCAGTCAGACCAGCAGGATCCCACCATCCAGGGTTTCACAAACTTTGCTGCTCTCAGTAACACCCTTTCCGCTGTTCCTTTATCTTTGGACCGTCCATGTTGTGGTCTATTTAAGGCTTCTAAAAATTCCGCTCATTTGTTTAAAAAGATTTATTTATTTATTATTTTAGAGGCAAGAAAGAGCGGGTAGAGGGAGAGAGAGAGAATCCCAAGTGGACTCCCCGCTGAGCACAGAGCCCGACTTGGGGATCGATCCCATGACCCCGAGATCATGACCCGAGCCAAAAGCTGAACTGACTGAGCCACCCAGGCGCCCCGTAACTCAGCTCATTTTTTAGGTAAATACATTTCTTTGAAAAGGAGGCTTTGCATTGCCACTGTAAGTAGAAGCCAGCATCACCAGGCAAAAGAGAAAGGAACCAGGGAAATCTTGCCATTGAAAACAGAGCAGTGTTACCACCTTCCAGCAGGTGCTTTTGCTGGGAGGAGGCTCTGAGCCTCAAGTCTCCGTTATCCATGGGAGAAGGGAGATTTGCATACAACTTCATGCATTTTCTAACAGACATTGAATGTTATATTTCAAATGGGTGAATTTTGTCATGGGTAAATTATACCTCAAAACAAAAAACATTAAAAGGAAAAAAGGAGATTCCCAAGGGCTAGAGAACTGTTGAAGGTTATCACCAACCTGCGACTTTCTCTTTGCTAGAATTGGAAGGATTGATGGAGAATTTGGAATATAAAAATGTTCTCTTTCGTCCTTTCAACAAGTAATGACTGACCTTGTGTCTGGTATCTTCTGTGTGCTTTAAGATATACTGGTAAGTAAAACAGTCGTTCTAGTGTAGGGAGATGACAAGTAATAAACTTAGTGCATCTGTTCATCTGGTAGTATGTTAGATTGAGAGAGCTAGAAAACATTCCCACTGAGAAGATGTGCCACAGGCAGGGGCTTAAAGGACATGAGGAGTGAGCCATGTAGATATCTGGGGAACAGCATTTGGGCAGAGGGAGAAGCCACCGCAAAATCTGTGATGTGGGAGAATGCCTGGTGTTTCCAGACTAGGTAAGGGACAGTCTACCATTGTGACTTGAATGGCAGGAGTGGAGCTGTGAGTTAGAGGACATGAGGTCACAGAGGTGGTATTAGGGGACTGGAAGGCAGCAGATCGTATCAGTCCTTGGAGGTCCCTATAAGGACAACCACTTTCCCGTTTACTCAGAGGGAAATGGGGAGCCACTGAGGGGTTTGGAGCAGAGGACAAACAGTGTCTGCTTCCACAATATCATAAAATGTCTTTAAAGAGATATTTAGGGGCGCCTGGGTGGCTCAGTTGGTTAAGCGACTGCCTTCGGCTCAGGTCATGATCCCAGGGTCCTGGGATCAAGTCCCACATCGGGCTCCCTGCTCTGCGGGAAGCCTGCTTCTCCCTCTCCCACTCCCCCTGCTTGTGTTCCCTCTCTCGCTGTGTCTCTCTCTGTCAAATAAATAAATAAAATCTTTAAAAAAAAAAAAAAGAGATATTTAGGATCTTATGAACTGCTCCACACTTTGTGAAATATTGCCATAATCTCAAGAACCAAAGGCAAAGGAATTCTTCCTTATGAGCAACACTTCTGATGCTCATAAGCTGCACTCAGGACTGACTTTCTTCCCTTCATTGTGCCTGATAAGTGTCCCATTTTTTTCTCTTCTCTGTCCTTGCTAGAGACATTGTTGATAGCTAGAACTTCAAGGGACATAAGCGTTTATGGGCCTGGTGACCTCACTGAAATTAGACTTGGGAGCAAAGTTACGTCTTTCTCCATATTTGTAGTAAAGAAATTCTAATCTGGAAATGTAAGTCTTTTCCTTCTCTACAAACCTTGCAATGTTAGGATTCAGGCTAGTAGAATGGGTGTCCCCTTTAACACTTACCGGGGCTATTTTTGCCCCCTGTCCTTCTGGTCTTCTTCTCTGACTGACTGAGATGTTTTGTTATCATCAACCGGTGGGGGCGGTCTGTAGCAATCACCCTGTTTATCTAACAGAATATTGTCATCTGAACCCATTAGTCTCAGAAAGTGACTGGCTGCTTTTGTCATTGTATACGTTAGCAAAGCGGGATAGAGCTATATCAGAAGCCTTAGCCCCTTGAGACTGGTTGAGGGTTGAAGGGAGAGAGAGAGATCTTGCATCTGAATAGCGTGCGTGCTCACCTTGTCCATCCCCCCAGTCTTTGATTCTTCAAGGCCATCCCCTTAAAGAATGAATTCCATATGTCAAGGCATATCGGCAGATACTACTCTTCGGCCATACATGCTGGCCTGGGATGGAGCCCTGGTATGCTGCCTTTCCACTGGGTCCCGTTGTTAAGCAATAGCACACATGTCCGTAATAGTTCCCTCGGGTTCTTTATTGTTTGCTTTCCTCTTTCTTAAAAGCCATGTGCCTCCGCTGCACCAGTTATAGGACGAAGCCCTTGGTTTTATGTGCTGCGGGCTTTCAGGCTATGTGTGTGTAGAAGTGGCTCGTTTTCCTTAGAAGCCTCCTAACTAAGTGATTTGGGACTTTGGGGAGTAGAACTGAAGACCTTAAGCTATTTTTTCCTAATTTGAGATGCTTAGCAAAGATTTTTTTTTTTTGTCCAGTCGGAAGCAGAATCTTGCTGCATGTTTTTAAATATTCTGTTTTCCTTCTTAAAAATAGTTTGGGTCAAGGAGCGCCTGGGTGGCTCAGTTGGTTAAGCCGCTGCCTTCGGCTCAGGTCATGATCCCGGGGTCCTGGGATCGAGCCCCGCATCGGGCTCCCTGCTCAGTGGGAAGCCTGCTTCTCCCTCTCCCACTCCCCCTGCTTGTGTTTCCTCTCTCGCTCTGTTTCTCTCTGTCAAATAAATAAAATCTTTAAAAAAAAAAAATAGTTTGGGTCTGGTCAAACCTGCATCTTCTTTAAAGTTACTTTGAAAGGGCCTTTAAAGTGTGGCTTTTTGTACACTGGACATTAGCATCTCTCCCTGGTCTCACATCTTTCTCAATGAGATAATTTATTTCAGTTACTACAGTGAGACATTAACCCCAGCGGGCCTGCTCACACATCTCATGAGGGAACTGCGCGAGCTGAGCTGGGGCCAAACCAAGAGCCCACTAACTTGGCAGAAGAAAAGTAGGTGACAGTTGCTTTACCTGTAAGAGAATTGAGATGATTTACAATATATGGTAGCTCATAAATATGATTTTGAACTTTACTGTTGAATGCCTAGGGTTTCAGGTAGGCAGGTTTCTTTCCCTTCAGACTTTTCTTAGACATCTTTTAGAAGAAAAATGTTTCTTGACAGATCTTTTAGATTGTTCCAGGTACAGGTTAGTTATGAGGGTTTGAGGAGATGGTTTTCCGAGTCAGTTATGAAGCTGACACTGTTGTGGACATATTTTCATATTTCTCTGATCATTCAGACGGCCCTTCAAGAACTTGCAAGGCCTCTAGGTTGTCAGTAGGCTTTGGGTAAATTCCAGGGGGCATTGCTTACCTTTGTGTTGCATTGGCCCAAAAGATTGTATCATAGTGAATTTCCTTTAAGGGCATGTCCAAAATCTGGGAGTTTGGTTCATAAGCATCATGAAGTCAGAGAGAACCTCAAGAGAGTTCCTGTGTGTTGTCTCCCTGAGGCTCACATCTTTGGGGATCTGCGTCACCCGTGGCGTGTCCTTGGCCTCAAGTCAGCCACAGCCCTCCTGATGGCTTGTCTTTTATTTCTGCTCTGATAGTTATGAGCTTCCCGGGGGCACCATACCCTGGAGAAGGGATGGGGACCCTACTCCTAGCATGCTTAGAACTTTATTGGTCAGTTGCTGTGGTTGGCCTTTGATTTATTTATTACTTATTTTGTTTTTTATTTTTTAGCCCTGAAGAAATTCAAGCTTCCCTTGTATTCTGAGTCCTGACCCTTCAGCTTTTATGCAGCATCCACCCAGCAACTTTTCCTTTCTGATCCCCACAGTTTAGGGAGGAAAAAAAGTTAAAATAGCTTTTTTTGCTTGTTCGTTTGTTTGTTGGTGGTGGTTTTTGTGTTGTTTTTGTTTTTTTTGTTGTTGTTGTTAACTCAAACTCTGAATCAAGGGGCTGGAAATCTTTTTTGCTTCCTTAATTACTTTTACGAAAGCAGCCAACGGCTTCTCTTTGGCAGTGGGGGAAGTGGTGAGGGTGACATTTGCTTAAAATCCTGTCCTGTTTTTTACCCACGACACTGAGACGAAAAAGTCAGGTTCTGGAGTTGAATAAAATGCATGCCAGTGGATTTGATGCCCAGAAAGATTGTCATCTCCTGGGCAGTACTTCAGCTCATGAATAAACCTCTGCTGGGAGGAAGTCCTCAGTGGTGAACTTTACTGACTGGCCCAGTGGGAGGGGGGTGGGCGCTAATTGACATGGATGTTAAAACTTTTCCTGCTAAGAAAATTTTATCAGATTGTGAGATCCTTGGGGACAACAAGTTCTAGGCCTCATGGCCTCGTTCAGTTTGCTTTCTTAGCATCTAGCAAGTGCCCGGCATATGGTAGGCTGTTCATTATTAACCCACTAAGCCTCACCACAAACCTATGTGGTTGTTAGGTAATGATCCTTATTTACAAGTGACCTAGCCATTTGGTAGCGGAGCCCTTATTCTTACTCGTGGCACTGTCTGCTTCAAATGATAGCTGGGCACCTAAGGAAGAGGAAGTCATGACTTATTACAATGGACCGGGTCTTTCTTTGCTTTCTTGTCTGAGAGCGGAGTCTCCAGGTGTGCCCCTCTCCTGCCTTCTGAGTTTTAAGTTCCTGAAATCTAGACCCTGATAGATGAATGAACTAATTACATAGGATAATCGATTTTCTTTCCAGGGATACCACAGTGTCCTCAACAATGGAAATAACCGGCCTCAAGATAGGAAAACCTTTTAAAATCTTTTCAGCTCTCCCTGACGTAGGGCGTGATGCCATGCTGATAGGCTGTTCCTGTAGCGTGAACACATTTCATGCAAAATCTCTTAAAAATAAGTCGTCTTGTAATAAATAACGTTGTTAAACCTGTATCTTCAGAGTTGAACTACACTTGTATTCGCTCTCCTTCAAAGCAGTCAAGTTTACAGCTGTCTCTTAATACCACAGATAAGGTTCAGCAACTATTGTCTTAATATTGTCTACATTCCTTTTTTTTTTTTTTGTTTAAACAGCTTTAACTGAAATCAGTTCTGCATATCAAACAAACATTTGGTTAATGTAAACTAAAACCCTTTCATATGACTGGGTGTTCTCAGGTTAGTTATTTGAGCCATTTTCACCATTGTTAAATCTTCACAAGTTGCTTTTGTTTGCCTCATGAAAGTTCAATATGGATAAACACAAAAATTCTTTGTGGTAACAGGTAAAGATTATAATAGTTTGTCTGTATAGGGAACACGATTACCTGAGCAAAGTCAGACGACCCAACATTAAGCTGTGAAAGCTCTACACTTCTTTAGAGGGCAGAGGTAAAAAGAGTTTGGGGGATGAATAGACTTGTACTTTGACGATAAAATTTGATTCTTTTCAAGTTGAAGATGAGTTTTCGAATATATGGAAAGTGGATAGAAAATAGTTTCTTACCCTTCCAAAACTTTACTCAGCCTCTCATCTACATATATTGGGATTGTTTCAGTTGCAAGGGACAGAAAACTCAGCCTGAATTGGCTTAAGTAGAAAAAGGCTTCAGGAACAGCTTGATCAAGGGCCAGGTGGTATCACCGCCTGGTTTTTATCTTTTTATCTTGCAGTTGCTTCCTACTTTGTTGTCTCCATTTTCCCCATTTGTGGCAAAATGGTTGTAGAATGCTCTTCCTGAATCTTCTCAGTCTTCAGACTTACTGTGATTGAACATACGGTGATTGCCCCCATACCTGATTCTGTGACTAGAGAAATGTGGTGGGCTGATTGGCTGACACTTGGGTGGCACACTCCACCCCTGGTATTGGGGTTGGAGCTCTCCCCAGACCACATGAACTGGGGAGGTGGGTCATTTACCAAATGAATAGCGGGGTTTTGCTAGAATAGAAGGAGGAATGCTAAGGTGGCATATAATAACCATAATAATAACCATAGTAGGTTCATAGGAAGGAAAAGCAATTATTAATGTCTTTGCTGCTCTTTCTACCTATTATCATGTGCCCTGAGTTGAAAAGTAACAATTTGAATGGCTGTTACTTTAATACACACCCCCACAATTAACTTTGTATTATTTCGTTATAAGGGCTAGGATTCTCACCAGCTCCTCCTGGCCCATAGTAAATTCTTTATTGGTTTTAAATTTAAGAAACTTGAAATTGATATCTCTTAATATGTGTCTGTGTTTTGCTCTAAGTACTAGTCTTTAATAAAGATGTTTAATAAAAACTGATTTTGATCATATCTTCCCTACAGAGTGCAGGCTGCTCTATACTTTAGGATCTCAGTATTTGTGTTTTGTTTTGCTTTTTTTTGGTAAAATTTATTTTTATTAATTAATTTTTTTTCAGGATTTGTTGATGAACATATAGTTTCCTCACGTCTGACTAATAAATGTGATGGAAAACCCCTCCCCACCCCAAGCTGGGTTTTCTCGCTAAGAAGACCTCAGTTTTAAGACTGCTCTTTTCTTGGCTTTGCAGAAATGCTCTGGAGACTCCAGGTTATATTGAAAACTGGTTAGGCTGAGCTTTTCTCACCTTTTCTCACCCTGTGGCAATTAAGTGACTGGCAGAGAATCGAGTGACGACCTTGTTGTCCTTGATTGTCCCTCACGAGGGCATTATAACAACTGCCTTCTCCTTATGGTCCCCAGGTCGAGTTCGAATGGCTGAGACAGTATTGGTTTCAAGGCAATCGATACAGAAAATGCACTGATTGGTGGTGTCAACCCATGACTCAACTGGAAGGACTGTGGAAGAAGATGGAAGGCGTGGTAAGTACATCAGGTCCGGGACCATATTTTCTGGGATGCTCTGCTCTGTAACTCCTCTGCTGCCTAATTTGCATAGGCAAATACATAATTCATTATTCTAAACTATTGAGTCAGGTAACTCTTGGTAAGGAACAGCCCCAATTTTGTCTGTACAAGCTCAGTTTAGTTCAGTGAGCGTTTTATCGAGTATTTCCAACATACAAGGCACCATGTTGGACACATGCTAGGAAGTGATGTGGAGGGAACAATAGTGCAGCAAGAAGATTTAAAATTCATTTGCCTTTTCAGACTCACCAGGCACCGTTCTAAGGGTTTTCCCCGTATTAACTTCTGAAATTCATACAATAGCCCTACGAAGTGTAGAAACTCTATATAAGAGTCTTAATTTATAGATGTGAAAACTGAGACATTGAGAAATTAAGTGCCTCGCCCAAGGTCAGAGAGTAAGTGGCTGAGCAAGATGGAGACCCAGGCAGTCTGGCTGTATGGCTTGTGCTCTTAACCACTACATTCAGTTTAACAAGGAGAGAGACGTGAATGTAGCCAGGTGTTACATTAGCTAAAATGAAAGCCTGTAATAGAGATTAAAAAAAAAAAAAATCACGGTCCAGAGGAGGGAGTATTAAATTCAGAGCACTGGACCCGGACTTTTGTGAAACAATAGATGTGGCTTTTGGGGACTTTGGATGGGGAGGAGTAGGGTCAGATAGGGCATTTGGAGAGGAACATCAGGCTCCAGGAAGTGCACTAACAAGATGGCAAGTGGGGAAGGACAGCCTGCCCTGGAGCAAGGTGTCAGGGGATGTAGTCGGAAGTGTAGCTGGAAGGAGAGTTGAGGCCACTTGCAAGTTTTGAATTGTCTTAATTTAAATAATAGTAATAGCAGACTCTTATGTGATACTTATGAAGTACCAGGCACTATTCCGAATGTTTTATATATAACTTATTTAACTTTTATGACAACCCCATGAAGTAGGTATAATGGTTCTCTATTTCATAAACCAGGAGACTGAACCACAAAAGGTTTACATAACTTCCTCACGATCATACAGCCCCTGAAGTGGGGGGACCTGGGATTTGAGCTCAGGAAGGCTGGCTCCAGAGTCAAGCCCTTCACTGCCTCACTGTCCTGCCTCCAACCCGTCGACTTGGGAACGTAGTGGAAAAGTGATAAAAGCCTGCCCAACTCTAGGTAGTACCACTGCACAGACTTGGAAATGTACTGGAAACAGTGAACTGGTCTGCAAAAATGTGTAGCTGCAAAAATGTGTATTTTATAATAATGAAAATATCAAGTCATAACCCTGAAGTGGTCTTAGTTTGAAAGTCTATGTCAGAATCCGGAAGTCCTTGCTTTCCAGACATCTCCTCAGATCTTTAAATGATGCCTTTTCATGGATATATGTCTGAGGAAGGAATGTTATAATCCTCCTTTTATTGTACTAACAGTATCACAAAAATGGATTCCTCCAAAGACCTGAGTCTCAGTGTAAAACTGAGCATTGTAAAACTGAGTTGGAGGTAATGAAAAGTCCATGCCTTAATCTCCTTAGTTCTGTTCCTAAAATTAGGCTGTGTGGTGTATGCTTCATTTTTATGGGATGTATATATAAAGGCAGCTTCAGTTTCAGGGAATTTTTTACTGTGTTATTCTGGTTTTGTCCATTTACATATGAGTTAGAAGAACCTCTTTATTTGCCAGACTTTGACTCTTAAGACATCAGGTTGACTTTGGGATTGTAATTTGACAACTCCGCAGATTAGAACATTTGAATTGGCAAATAAATAAGAAAGGAACTCATTGATTTTGTTAAAAAAAAAATTCTTTGCATTTCTTTTTGTTCAAGGTTTTGTTTTGTTTTTTTCTTCTTCTAAAGAGTAGTCTTTGGTGTTGGGAACTTACTGATTACATTCATTATGAATTCATTTAAAAGCTTTAGTTATAATTTTTTTTTTTTAATCGGGCCATGGCACATTAGTTAGATGGAATATCTTCTGTTTACTTTATGACTCTTGTGCAAAAAATACCAAGAAGAAGAGCAATCTTCGGAGGGCTCCAGAGCGAGTTTCCTTGCAGTTGGTGGGGCATTACTGAGTGTTCCGAGTGAAATCAATGGCCCCAGTGTCTCTCCTCAGCCAGCCTCAGGGTGATCATTATCAGCTGAGTGAAGGTTTGGGCCAAGATAAAAGGGATGATACTTCCAAATTAAATCTAAGCATGGCTTCAAGCCTCTTTAAATGACCTTTAACAAATTCATAATAATTTATTTTTGCTATTGGGAGAGACAGAAGATAAGGATCATTGGGGAAGTAAAGTCTATGGTTCTGGGGCTCTGTTAGTGCAGTGCCATCTGGTATTTGTGTACTGGGGGGCGGAGCTGGTGCTGGGCGCCTAGAATTCCTGCTTTGCACCAGCCCGCCTCCCATGTTCGCAGTTGCAAGCAGTAGGGGGCAGTGTTGAGCCACCAGTTTGAGGCCTCAAGATGCTGGCCTTTCAGGAAAATGCATACAAATGTACCATTAACTGTCAAGAATTATCCCTGTTGCTTCAAGTTAGCTGTAATCTCCAAGATTCCCTAACACAGGAAATCAGTTGTGGGTTAACAAATTCAACAGCAATTTAACATAAAAAGTGCACATTTGGGTTCTGTAGAATTAGACTAATCTGAACAGCATTTCTGAACATACTCACTTTGCTTCCAGGGAATATATTACTCAAAATTATTATCCTTTTAGACAAATGATTCTTCTTTATCTCTGTGCTTTTATTTTTTTAATTGTAAAATCATGTGTGTGTTATGGAAACACTTCTGTAATTAACGTATCTTGTCTGTTCTGCACCATAGTATCGATCTCTTTTGGTGAAAACAAAACAAAACAAAAAAACCTCAGGCAATATGTACATTACTTTTCACCTTTTGCTTATGAGTAAAGCAACCTCTGACAGCCCTTGTACCAGGGAAGAGACTGGTGTTGTGATTTCTCTCTGTCTCGGTGTTCTTTTTCTTTTTCCACCACTTTGTGGTTGGAAGGTGTAGTCTCAGGTTGGATACAGAAGAATGGAAAATGAGCTTTGCAATCGCATTTCTTCCCTTAATGGTAATTGCTTCTTCACATGTCATAACCATATTTCAGAACGTTTAGTCCACTGTGTCTAAAACTCCCCTAGCCTCTACTTCCCATTCTCTGTTCCAGCAAGCACTGTTTTTAACACACTGTTTATTCTCGCCACTTCTCCCCCCCACCCCCAGGATAGTTTTACTCTGTGCTTGCTCTTGTATGTAAATGTTAAACCTTATATTTGAATGACATTCTGATAAAATACCACATTTTCCCTGAATATTACCTCATGAATTTATGAGCCATTAACCCCAAAGCAGCATAACCCTTTCGTATAACCTAAGAATTTAGCCTTGCCTTTTCTTCTCATCTTTGCTCCCTGTTCAGGATGGTATTATTATAACCCTGGAACGCTATTCAGATATTTGTATTTTATTTTATTTTCTTAAACCAACCCACCACCTCACAACCAAGATTACTGTATTATGAGGCGACTCTTCAGGATAAGAGAGAGTTACCATTTGAAAGAAACTGTACAAGCTTTGCTTTCTGGGTAAAGAGAAATATGAAAAGCCGAAGTCTCCTGTGAGGTGAGGAAGTCTTGCTGTAGCCAGAGATTCAATGGATAGGCCATTTGTCTCTCAGGGTCTGGTATCGCACTTTGCAAAACTGACATTTATTTTACCTATAAAAATGTTTTAACACCATCAAATTCACAACGATACGAGAAAGAATGCTAGGTGTGATGTCCTCTAAATTGATGACATTTATTCATTTCCCTTTGGCCTTAAAAAACAAAAGGTTAATTTAGTATAATCCAATGGAAATATTCTAGAATAATTTCCAGAGTAAACATTTTCAGAAGTACTGATGATTGATATACTGGAGAGAAATTTCTTCATGCTTTTTCTTTTCTTTTCTTTTCTTTTTAGTGCTTCTTTCGTTTAGGAGAGAAGAGTAGAATCCTGATCGTTTTGAATGTTTTGCATTTCCTGTCTTGACAGTTCTTCGTGCTGGGATAGCAGTGTGTTTATATGGCAGTTGGCCTTTCTAACCTTTATTGACTTTAGTGGGAAGGAGCCAAGACTGGAGCATTTTAATGTATCCGTTTTGAAACACTGTAAAACACAATATATAATTATGTTGGGTAAGCTATAGGCTGCATTAAATTCTACCCATTTATGTTAAAATTTGGCACAGGAGAGCAGAGAGACCTGGAAAACGAGTAGGTGTTTTATTTAATTCTGTTACCAGTTTCTTGTTGTTAAAAGTTTTAAGAGAGAAAGGTACTTACAAATGTAAAGGTTGTCCTTTACAAGTTTGTTATAATAGTTTAATTTTGAGATGAGTCATAGGTTTTTCCTTGTCATTTTGGCCTGTGTCAATCATCTGGGAGAGCTCATGCCAGGAGCCTGTCCACGGCTGTCTGGTGGAGCCTTTCCTGGTATAGCTTACACAGTCCTGGGCAGTGACTGAGCCGAGGAGCAGTTTGTTTGTTTTTGGAGAGATTAATGAAGCTCTCATCACAATGCTTTAGATTAAATTCTTTGTAGCTGAACAGAGGAACAAGGCTGCTTTTTTGTACACTGAAATATACACTGGGTATCCCAGTATTGGCTATTCTATTACAGTTCAATTAGCTAAGTTCATTTTAAGCTTTCTTCTAAGATTAAAGATTTTGGGGGGTAGGAGGAATAATAAAATTAAAATTACATATTAATTTTCTGCCCATGTTAATAGTGAAGTTACCAACTCATATTCATATACGTCTGTGTAAATATATGTGTGTGTATATATATAAATATCTCCCCTTTTAGTGTTAATGTATATACTGAATTATATTTGCAAACATAATCCTTGCTTCCATTTTTCAGAAGTAGCATCACTGATAAAGGAGCAGAAGATACTATAGTAATTTAGGATTTGGTGTGAGATGTCTG